CCATTGTGAGTTTGCAGGAATCCCTCATGGTAAACTGTTACACACAAGCACTGAGTTAGGAGGTTAATGGCAGGAAGAACTTTTTTCTCCAGAAAAATGACGCAGTTGAGTGCAGAAGCAGAGAGATGTCTGTACTTTCTAGAGAAAAATACAAAAACAACAACAACAAATAAGCTGGGATTGGATACAACATTTATGGCAGCACAAATTCACAGTCTTCGTCCAGAAAAAACAGTAACCTAAAGCAGAGGAGTCCTTTCTATGGGAGAGCCAAATAGGGAAAGCAAAGATAATTGATATTTCCATTTTTTTTTTTTTTTTGAGTGTGGTATTTTCTTTACACTGTCACAAGTCCAGAGCAATAAAGTTAACTCTCTGCATTTACAGTAACCCATCCCCCTTGGGAGCAGTGGGCTGCCATCGTGCAGTGGCATGGAAGCAATGTGGGGTTAAGGGTCTTTTGTGCTCGGGGAGCCATAGTGGCAGTCTGTGGGAGTGGGTTTCAAACTCACAACCTCAGGATTCCAAGCCTTATGCCCTTAGCGCTAGGCTGCCAATCCCCCTGATCAGAGGTGTCAAGTAACAAAGTACAAATACTTCATTAATGTACTTAAGTACACTTTTTAGGTATCTATACTTTACTCCATTACTTATTTTTCTTCCTACTTCTGACTTCTACTCATTATATTTTCAAACAAGTATCTGTACTTTCTATTCCTTACATTTAAAAAAAAAAACTTTATTCATTACACTTGGCTTTGGTTTAATGTTTATAAATATTTATTTCACGTCATGTGCGTCATCCAATGCAGATCATAGGCGCCATCCACATCTAGTGAAAACTAGTGTAATTGATGAGTCATTTAACGCAAACACTCATTGGTTAGCTAAAGGAAATCATCAGAAATAGTCGAAAAATTGAACTTTCAATTCATATAGTGGCATCTGGATGTTATTTCTTAAGGTTACTTTATACTTTAAGTAGTTTTTGGAGCTCATACTGATTCACTTCTACTTGAGTAAAGAGGTCAAGTTGATACTTTAACTTTTACCAGAGTGTTTTTAAACTGCAGTATCTATACTTATACTTCAGTAACAAATGTGTGTACTTTTGATACCACTGCCCCAGATAGCGACAACATACTCCTCACTTACTCCATCCAGAATTTATTTATTTTTTTAATAAATAAATGATACAACTGCAGAAAGAGCAAAAAGTAAATGCCTGCAGCAACGGGAATGCAAAATAATAATCTGTTAGGGGTAATACAGAACATATTTTGTTAATAACCTCACTAAGATTAAATAAAACTAACAGTTTAACTACAATTTAAATCCCTCCATCTTCTTCCACTTATTACGCCAGGGTCACAGTGGCCAGTGGGTATATGTGGCAGTCATAGAGTGAGGGGTACATCTTGAACAGGTCAGGTCGCCAGTCTCTCGCAGGGGCAACACAGAGACATGCACACACAAATTCATACCTAAGAACAATTTAGAGAAGCCAATTAACCTAACAGTCATGACTTTGGACCGTGGAATGAAGCTGGAGTACCCAGAGAAAACCCACGCATGCACAGGAAGAAAATGCAAAATCCATGCAGACAGACCCCGGGCCCAGGAATCAAACCACAACCTTCCTGCTGCTATGCACCAGTGCTAGAAACGGCCCCACCGTGCAGCACACAGTTTAAATACGTTTTATTATTTTAAGACTATTTGGGACCGATTAAAAATGCAGATTTAAAATGTTTCTTTTACACGATGAAGAGAATTAATATCACTGACTGCATCAATAATAGAAGGTTGTCAGGTATTTGAAGTGTCAAAACAGCCCACACCATCACACTCCTACCACCATGACTGACTGTTTTTATGATGTTCCTTTTCTGAGAAAAAAAATAAAATAAAAAATGTGTTGCTTTGGTAGAGATAAGTAGAGTCATTCTTTTGATTTAGGACTCTCATGTGGATGCTGGTCTTGCTCCCTGTCTTTGTCAACACTGAAATAAACTAAATAAGTTTGGGCCTGTGGTGATTTAAATTGCGTTTTCTAACCTCTTTTAAGACATATTGATACACTCGAAATTATTTTGTGAGGCCAGTCTAATCTAAAACATTTAATTTTTGAATGATGGGTATGGTTCACTACGTTCCCTAAACCTTAAAGAGAGATCAATTGTTATTGCATTCTTTAAATTTGCTGAGATTGGTGCATCATGTGCTGCTTTTTGAAATATTTTGCCTTTTTGTGTTGTCTTTGATTCTGAAGGAAGGTATTAATCAGGTCAGAGTGTGGCTATCAAAATATAAATCACCTCCAAAATATAGGTGTAGTTGCAGTTATTTAATGATTAAACAAGGAAGTGTGTGCTTGGAAAAAACAAACTAAAAATACAAGAATATTATACAGTGTGGCGGTTCTAGACCAAATGTACCAGGGGGCCAGGAGGGGGCCAGCGTGTTTTCATGGGGGCACAGAAAAGCATGAAATAAAAAACAGGGCAAGAGATTTAAATATATTAAGAGAGCTTTATGAAGTGAAATTTCTATTCAATTAGGTTTATTTAAATGTATATGTCTTACTAGGTCAATATACATTCATAATTTAGGAATTTAACATATTTTTAAATAAATTTAAGCTAGAATTACCATTTTCTACTAAATGTGAATTAGAACTCAAGAAAAACTGATGAATTCAGCCATAAAAATTAGAGCAATTTCTTTAAAAAAAAAAAAAAAAACATTTAGCAGAAGAAAACTGGGATCCTATCTCAATACCACTGAAGCTATCATGTTATTTATTTTTAATAATTAGTAAAACAGGCAGTGTTGTGCCTAAACGCGTTCATTGAACGAAAGTTCATGAACTCGTTCATATTTTGGGCGAACGTGAACTGAACGTACTGTATTACTGCCTGATGAACGTTATTGTGAACTCGTTCATTCTGGCGTCTGTGAACGGCACGCTCTCTCAGTTCAACTCCGTTCAATAGGTTGCCAGATTTCTATAGAGTCCTCCAGGCGAAACCCCGGCTAAATCACACCGTAAACAAGCCTTAATATGTAGCAGGAAAAACACCCAATCTGGCAACACCAGCTACCAGCGTCGTAGCCTACAGCCGCGTGCGTCATCAAAAAAAAATGCAGCGTTGAAGCCACAGCAGCATGGAGGAGACCGTGGAGGCGACAAAGCAGCAGTATGATCACTTAAAACAGTTTTATGACCAGGTGGTCGGTGAGGATGATGGCAACAAGTTTGCCCGCCGGCTTTCAGTAAAAAAATCTGCACTTCAGTAACCTTAAATTCCTACCTCAGCCTGGTCCCTCCGTTTGTGTTAGTAAAATCTTCTTGAGCGGAGGTCTTCAACAGGGAATCCGCGACCCCTAGGGGGTCTACGGAGGTACTGCATGAGGGTCTGCATGGTTAGTTGATATTTTTATATTCCCCCCCTGCAATTTTTTCCCCCACTAATTGAAATGTCTTTAAATACTCATTAACATGAAATCAACACACTGTAGTAAACAGATAAATGGAGACAAAAGATGTCTTTCAGTCATCAATGCACACATTCAGCGACACACAGGAGCTCTTTCAAGCTGGGCACCGTTTCCTTCACAACAACCAGGAATCAGAATCAGAAAAACTTTAATAATCCCAGGGAGAAATTAATTTCTTTACATTACTCCATCTGTAATAGAGTGACTATAGGACACAATTTCATACAATATATATAGTTAGGGGGTCCCCGCTCCATCTCGCCATCAGTTTGGTGGTCCTTGGTCTGGAAAACATAGAAGACCCCTGTTCTTGAGGGTTTTACTATCCATGTAACTTGTTTGTTAAACCTGCCTGGTATAATTTTCCAGGATTCCAGTATTCCTTTTTAGTATGTATTGAAATGGAATTTCAAATGGAAAAAATTATAAAAAAAAACCAAAAAAAAACATTTGCTATGAGGTAAGATCACTGTCAAAATAAACTTGTGCACTACTTTCCTATTTTTCTTTTAATAATTCCTCATAAAAAAGACCATTCAAGCAGCACATTTTTCCTGATGTTTTTGAGAATATACTGTAGGGGTGAAAGCTGCAGCTGCTATTAGTGTGAAGTGAATGGACAGCAACAAAGCGTTAAAGCAACAATGGGGAAATGCTGTCCCCTCAATGCTAATGTAAACCCTGGTTGGATAAGGATTCAAAACTGGATATGAAGATGAAATCTGACGCACAGTTTCAGAGTTACAACTGATAAAATAATTGCTGTCTGTGGTTCTACAGTAGGCTATGGTGTAATTGAGCAATATATGAAAAAAAAGAACTATGAACTAGTTCATTTTTTGGTTTTGAATTATGAACTATGAACTGAACTAGTTCATTTTAAAATGTGTGAACTGAACTTTGAACTAGTTCACGTAGAAAGAGAACTTTCCCAACACTGAAAACAGGATTTGTAAAAGGGATAAAAAAAGAAATAGACCAAAAAGACCTATCAGTAACCATGTCTGTTCCAGCGCATATCATCATTACAATTTCTTTCTGAGATGAAGATGTCTGAAGATGTCTTCAGTACATGGGCTATAATAGGAGGCCAGGAAGTGATCTACGTAGAGGGGCACTGGTCCCTGTCTAGAACGACACATGGTTAATACTTATTCACATACACTTATCTGCTTCCCAGAATTAAAGTTATAAAAGGAATTCTGTTAGGACTTAGAATGCTGTATGTACAAAGTATAATCATTTAAATCCCTAAACATCAATATTGTCTTGAATGATTCAATTTAAACTCAATTTAAAAATATAAAGTAATATATCATCAAAGTAATCAGAGACTGCCATTTTCTACAAATCATTTAAATAATTTGTGTAATAAACAATTACATCAGCTTAAAATCTTGTGGTTTAAATAAGCGGCATTTCCTCGCTCTGTTTGGTTAGAATTGATGGATACTTAGATTAACCAATCATCTGCTGTTATGAGTGAAACATTCACCCAATCAGCGAGCGACTATGCAAATTACGAAAAGAGTTGAAGCCAGTTTGCTGTGACAGCGTTTGGGCTATTTACATGTTTCATTTTCACTTTAATCTAAACGCAGTGGAGATTGTTATATCTTGGACTCGTTGGAGGAGAAACATTTACACTGTAACGTATTACTCGTTCGAATCTGCTCTGTGTTAATAACGGGAAGTTTCTTGTAGCCGGGAGTTCAGGCTTGAAGCTAACGGCTAACAGCTAGCTTAGACGTTCACCGGTACAGGCGGACCTCTTTGTCTGACAGGGAAAGGCGTGCTCTTTTGTTAGCTTTTCCCTTTTGGTCCGCTCAGGAAAGAGTAACTGTCGGGCCAGGATTTCACAGTCACCCTTATTCTGGGATTTTTTTTTTTTTTTTTTAGAAAATGCAGCTCGCGAAAAAAGACTTTACAGAAAGCCTGATTCAGTTGACTATCTTGCTCAGTTTGGTGGGAGTTCGAGTAGACATAGATAGCTACCTAACCGGCGTCTATCCACCCCTAGCTGAGATTAACTTGGGTCCTAGCTCAGCTTACACTCAAACACCTTTCCACATTTTAAGAGACACGCTCGACGGATACGGGGTGCATCCGAAATGCCCCGAGCTGGACTCCTTCTTCGCCAGTCGTCGCCTGCTGGATGAGGTGAGGACACTTGGGTCACCTCGGTTTCCCACGCAGCTGAGCGCGTGGCTGGTGCACCAAGTGTCGTCAACGGGGCCTTCTACCAGCAACAGCCCTGACACCAACCCTGGGTTGGAAAACACCGAGAATGAAGCCGGAGGGACCAATGATCCCCTGTCTGTCAGGGGCCAAACTAACACTGAGCTGGTGCAGGGGCCCTGTGTTGCAGGAGCCTTTCCAAGTGTGAGTATAATCATCTTATAGGAGTTCAGTCACATTATTTGTTCCATATCTAACAGCATGATTGGAAAAAATGTTGAACAGTTGAAAACAAACAGACGGATCAACATGGAGTTAAAAACTGTGACTAACTAGTGCAACACAAAGGGGGAAATCCACCCAGCTTGGGAATCATGTTTCCTTGTAAACCAGGAAGGAACCAATAACGTTATAAACCGTTGGCCCAAAAAAAGAAAGTACATTCCTTTCTATGTTTTTGCAGTAATGCTTTGATTCCGTGGTTTTAATAATGCATTCATGGCATTCATACATTTGAAAACATTTGTGCAAACTGAAAATTCCTTGCACATCTGCTGTTGTCAGTGTCAGTTGAAAATGTGTTGCAAAACACAGAAAGGTTGACATACCTCCTGCTAATATATGAACATGTTCTTTAGCAGGAAGCGCATATTGATCGTCAACAAGGGTGGGATCAATCTACAAATTCAATCCTGGTTTATACTTTTATTTATTACTAATTACATGTTAATGACTGTTTTGGATTTGTATATCTTACATCATTCAAAAGTCTCATAGTACAACCATCTGAGCCAAACAGTAGCTGTCTACGGCACAATCCAGAAAATCACCAAGAATGAAGCTTATAATAAATTGGAAAATACTGGCCTTTCACTTTCATAGTCAAAAGTGAAAGGAGTCTTATTTGAGGCTTTTAAACCTGAGAGCACTTCAGCGATTGTCAAGCATGGTGGTAGCAGCCGCATCCTTAAAGGGAAACACCAGGGTTTTTTTTTACATTGGGTCCTTGATTTTACATTATTAAATCATGTTCTACTCACCCATATGAGTTTTGTTTCATTAAGAGCTGTTCTGAAGATATTCCGTTAGGTTATATCCAAGTAACGTCTTCCTATGGGCAATGATTTGAAGGCAGAAACTAAACTGTTCATAATTTATCATTTATGGTACGCCAGCATTCATAACATGTAAGTGAATCACTATCCCCCAGACATCCACGGTTATATTTTTTTATATTTAAGGTCTGCTCTGCCTAAATGGGTAGGGAACAAGGAGGAGGCAGAATACTTCAGTTTAAAACGTAGAGAAAACTGTTATTTTGCAAGGATACAGCTCAATATTAAACCCATAGAAAGACACTATCTTTAGCCCTCCCTAAAAATTCTTCGCCCGCATTGAAAAGTTGAGTCTGTTACTTAACACCTCAACAGTTAAAAAAAAAATATAACGTTTTTGTTTCAAGGAGCGGGGAAATATTAGCAAGAACTGAACTCCACTTCATAAAATGGATGCCAAAAAGAAATGGTTTATCTGCAGTGTGGATTTAACATAAGAACAGGTTGGAGTGATTATAGTTTAGCATCATTTTGACCTAATTTGAATAAAAGAAAACACAAAATAAACGAATACCCAGCCAAAGTTTATTTGTCTTTTAGTTATTTTTCTACATTCACTTAAGGGCACCCATTCTGTGGAATGTATGAAAACGTCTTACTGGCACTGTATATATTAGGGATACTTTGCAATGTGAAGTGGTTATTTTAATAAAGGTAGTCTAAAAGAGGCGTTACAGAGTTTTCTAATGATACTGCCACCTGTGGCCAAAACACAGAACTGCAACACTCTTCTGCTCATTCACGTAGCTTGATACATTTTTACGTTGTTTTGTTTTTTTTACATGGAGTTGCCATCGTGGTCTGAGTTGAGCAGGATACCGGTTCCAAGTATCCACAAAATCCATCTTGAATATAACGCTTTGATTATTTAGTAGGTTTGGCTCATTTAACACGGACAACTTTGACGTCACATCTGTAGAAAAACGCAAAAACTTCCGACCTGAAGCAAATTCATGAAAACAGGCTACAAGCTTATAGATGCAACGGTGCTGAAATACTGAGGTGTCAGTCTGCTCATAAAATGATTACCAAGTGTCTTTAGAAACTTGGTTAATACATTTCACCAAACTGGTTAGTTAAATAAACATGACAGTCAAGCATCAAAAGTATTCAGTTAACTGTCGGCTGCACCTGTCAGTCTTTGCTATCATGTCACCCTTAGCTGGAATTTGAAGCCTCTAAATAACTCAAAGATAAAATACCTTGGTTTTAGTTTCCTTCTTTACTAGTGGAGTTGTCTTTGAGAGCAAGGATATACAATCATACTAGAACAGTATGCTAAAGTATGCTTTTTGAGCTTTTTGTAGTGAGTGGACGTTACGTGTTTATGCCTTGGAGCAGATGTGATGTCACGTTTTGTCTGAGAAAACAGTCGCTGTAAAACAGTTACTCTGATATTTTAAAACAACCCTGAAATATAGATTTTACATTTTTAGCATTTATGTAAGTGATTAGCACAGCTAGCATTTCTAAAGCTGCTTAAATTTAGTTTCTTAGCTAAAAAAAATCTGATTTGAGTTTCCTAATAGCCGATGACCGGTCAGGGCCATTTCTTGGAGTTTCTCATACATTTTGAGGTAAAACTTTCAAACCCTTTCTAGTAGAACCAGCTGCTATGTGTATATTATGTCCTGGCAACAGCTGTCGCCACAAACTGTGTTACCGTATCAGCTTTCTTTGGACTCAGCCACCAGCTGTGGACCTTGAGAGGTAAAGGAGTGAGGATCAGGTCCACACCCTGTTTACTTGTAAAAGCAGCGGCCCACACTTGAACATTGTCCCTCCTTCAGAGTTCAGTTCAACATGCATGATGTGACGGTGATGTGTGTCTTATGTTTTACACCCTAAACCCCTTTAGATGACCTCCTTTCTATTCTTTTTGAGGAACAGTGCTTCAGCTGTGATTTTTTTCAAGTGTTAAAATCAGAAGTTGTCAACCTTAACAGTTTTAATTAAAGCTAAAGAAGCGGCCGAGTAAGGAGTTTCAAGTCCAGGCAGAGCAGGGCAGAAACAGGCTGGTGTGGAGAGCTTTCCTTTTTTTTTTACAGGCTGGTAAAAATAAAGTAATTATAACCTTTGTACATGCAGTCATATTGTGCACGACACAAAAACAACACAATAGTTGTTTGTTTTTTACAGCTGGTGACCCACATCACTGGAGGTGTATCATGTCATCTTTGATCTAACTTTTACAACTGCTTAATAAAAACAGACCTTGAGACTATTATAAGCAATGTTTTGTAAAATATAGAATTGGATTCTATGGCTAACACAAGACCGGTGAACCTGAACCTTGGTGAACCCTGGTGGCTTTTTGGTTTGCAGCTAACAAGGTGTTTGTTTTCCTCTTCTATGTCATGAAATCGTCCCAAACTTCACCTTCCGATTCCCTCTATCCACCTGTGTTCTGCCGCCCAGGAGGATGAAGTTAAAGTTAAAGAAGAGGAGGAGGCGGTTCCTCTCACCCAGCTGGCTCACAGCTCAACACTAGAACAGGAGGTAAGGAGATTCATATACTCCCATGATAACGACATTCTGTGTCATTGTTTTAGTTTTTGCAGCTTTGTCATCCTAGATATGATTGATTCAGATTCAAGTATTTTTTAATATATTTTTTTTCATTCAAAGAAGTTCACAAAGTTGTTATTCCGGTTTTTTTGTTTTTGTTTTGCTAGGCAATTTTGTGCTTTACTATGATTCATAAACAGGAGCCACTAGATAACAGAAAACTCGGCTTTTGGCAAATATGCCTCACCCATTTTTCCTATTAGTGCTGGTTATGTAAGATAGGTGTGGGAGTTTGCCTCGAGAGTTTCAGTTAGGAAAATGGACCAGTTTTTGCTGCTGTTCCTGTGCTTCCTGCCTGAGTCATCTGCTCTGAAGAGTCGGCTCACTTCTGCTTTAAATAGTTATATGTTTTAAGACTCCTCTGAAACCTGAAAACTGTTTTTACATAAGCCAAAACTTCAGTGTAATGATTCTGAACAAAAGCAGTGCTATGGCACTGTTGTCCTTATTGGCTCCCCTGGTAAAGGTGTTTTATTATCTTTAGAAATTCCTAACTTTACTTTGGGTACATCCAGCGGAATGAAAAATTGTTGTAAATAAAGCAATCAAGCATGTTTGAATTTCTACTTCTGCTTTTGACTTGTCTGCAGTTTGTAGGTTTTAGCTGGAGCCAATGATACTTTTTAAGATGAATAAGTCAGATTTATTGGCGATGACTTTTCAATATGTTCAGCAGTCTCAAACAAGAGTAGAAGAGGATTTAAGTTTATCTTGCTTTCAGACTGAGATGGCAAGGGAAATAAAAAAGACTAATCTGAAAAATACAAAGCTGATTAAATCAAACAGCAGCCTCTAGTTATAGAAGCAGATCAGGGAAACTTACTTTCTGTCGATTAAAAATCGTGTGAGGTAACTGGAGCAGCATGCTTTGGTCAGCTGAAAGGAGGATTATGGGGGAATGGGTTGAAAATAAACTCATGCCTAATATTGAGTATGACGGGTTTTTCCCCCAAGAGCACCTTCTTTGTATGTTACCCTTGTCAGATAAAGAAGACTGGCGTCCTTTAGGGGAGAAGAAAGGTCCTATAGCTACAGACAGAAGGAGTTTTATGTTAGAAAATTTAATCTTTAAAATTGATTGAAGCAGTAAGTGTACTTAAATTTCAAGTTTGATTTTCCAAAACTTTCTTTGTTTGATAAATCTACTTTATCAGAAAGAAAATGCATTTTAAGGAATTTTACAACCACTGAGATAAATTATAGCCTGTTTGTTAAATTAGGTTTCTTGTTCAGTCTCTAATGTCTTAATTTTTTTTATCTTAATTTTTTCCCAGAATCTGCTTGAAGGCATCCCCTCACTGTCTGAGCCGGCGCTTCATGATGTTCCTCCTGCAACTGATATCGACTGGAATAATTTGCTCTCTGTTACTGATCTAAATGTAAGCTTTCTAACGTTGCATAAAGAGAAACAAGCGAACAGAGTTGTTAGGTTAGGGGTTTAATAGGGGAATACATCTAAAGCTAATTAACTGGGTCCTTATTCAGTCCAGAAATATTGGAATATGACTAAAGTATTTTTAAGATCTCTGTGCTTATTTAATATTAAGACAAATACATTATTTTTATTCCATCTCCTATTGTCTGAATCCAACTGCGCATTCATTCATCCATCTGTTATTCATCAAATTGTCTCTTTTTTTCATCATATATCATCTCTCAGTGCATCCATGCATCATTTTATTTCCTCATCTTACATTTTTTGAGTCATGTCTTGAAAATGATGGATTTTTGATGTAAAAAAGATGCAGGATTGTTGTAGAAAGAATATGTTGGTTTTTAAAAAATACATCTTTTATTTTCAGGATTTCGACACTCTTATTGCTGAACGTCTGTCAGAGCTCGACTCAGACATCAACAGTGCTATCAGCCAGGATGTCAGTTTGCATGACGCCATGGTAACCAACTCTGGGTCTTTCGGTCCGGCACCTGCTGCAGCGGAGTCCAGGACAGCCAATCAGCAGCAAAGATCCCTGCTACAGCTGGAGTCCACAAACTCCTCGCTCTCAGACTCTTTGCCAGGGATGGCCGTTGGCCTCGCCGCTCTCCCCTTTGCCTCAGTGTGTAATTTAACTGGAAATATGACATCACAGAGTGAACTGGGTGACTGTCTTGATGAGGCGGTGTTTGACCAAATCAATCAGCTGGGTTTGGAGAGCTTGGGAACCATTGACAATCACCTGAACTTCCTTGAGTGTTTGGACTCTCAAGCCTTTGAGGACTTGGACTCCGATTCAGGACTCTCGCTGGAGAGCAGCTATGGATGTCCAGCATCTCCAGGTTTGTGAAAATCCTAAAAAATACATTTAGCTTACACATATATTACTAATGTATGTATGTACCAACACAGTCATTTGCTCTTGTCTCTTTCAGGTTCATCTGAGATGTCATCCTCCAGCTCCTATTATGAAGAAGAAGGCGGAGCCACAGGCTACAGCAGCGAGTTAGACTCCAAACCTCCTAAAGGCATAATGGACCACAGCACATTGTGGCCATCTGTGGATCTTGGTGAAAGTGTGTGGCACAATCACAGTTACTCGTCTTCTCCTCTCCTCACCAAGCCATCTCTAAGGCTGCCCTGTAAGACTGAGGAGCCGGAGGAGGACAGCGGACTTCAGCTGGATGAACGGGAGCTGAGCCGTGACGAGCTGCGCGCCCGTGCCATGTGCATCCCCTTTTCTGTCCTTCAGATCGTCAACATGCCCGTGGAAGAGTTTATGGAGGTTCTGGACAGCCACAGCTTCTCCCCGGAACAAGTGACCCTCCTGAGGGACATTCGCAGGCGTGGCAAGAACAAATTGGCAGCGCAAAACTGCCGCAAGCGCAAGCTGGATGCCATCACAGGCCTCCAAGAGGAGGTGGACAGGCTGCAAGCCCAGAGGGATAGACTGTTGAGGGAGAAGCGGCTTACAGCCAAGACAATGGGCGCTGTGGCCCACCAGTTTAAACAGCTGAGCCGGGACATACTGTCTCGGCTGAGGGATGCTTCGGGACGGCCCCTGAACCCTGAGAGGTTCACCCTGCAGTGCGGGGCTAACGGGAGGGTTGTAGTTCAACCCATCAGACAACCTGCCGTCACCACATCATCTGGCAAGAAGACAGACAAGAGAAAGAAGGAAAAGAAGCAGTGATGCTCACAAAGACTTGAATTTTAAGCTTTCTTTGGGATATTGCTGAACTTTACTCACCCCAGGTTTGGGGTTTTACTTTTCTAAAGATTGCATTGGGAGCCGAATTTTCCAAAAGCTGCAAAAAACAAAAGACTCGGAGCATAAGTTAATTAAAAAGATATCTGTACATATGGAAAAAAGTAGCTTACACACTGGACTTTTTGCTTATTGATGATGGGCAAAGCATACAGGGTTTAAGGGAACAGCTTAGCTGCTGGAAAAAGTATCAATCTCTCTTTGTGCCTGTTAAGATATGAAGTAGAACATTTATTGCTAAATAAGATTTTAGAGCAGTTACTGGTATTTTGCCCTGTATTATGTCTATTAGAGGTAGGAGGGTGAAGATTGTATTTATAAATCGCTTAAGGCTCTTGAACTTCAGGTTCTGATATGCACCATGATACTTTTTTTATAACTTAAAATTTAACTGATAAGAAAGTGAAAGCTTCACCAAATGTTTACAGTCAATAGATCAGACGGCAGGTAAGGTTAACCTTTGATCTGAAATTGAAAAATAAATAAAACTTTATTTACCTTTTTTGCATCTTCATGCAGAATATGACAGATCCAAAGCAGACCAATGATCAAAGAGGCCTTATTTACATTTAGGGAAGGATGATTTAGGTTCTTTTGGGAGAAAATGATCCTCAGAGTCTTAAAGGTTACTGGAAGAAATGGAGAATCTTCATCTATTGGACATGACCACAGTTAGAATTAACCTCTTACTTGGATTAGTTGTTAGTTTTAGAAAAAATATATTCTACCTCATGCTTCAGTTCAATTTAATGGTCTGGAGTTTCCTACATAATTCATATCAATGTTTCTTTTAGATCAAAGGAAATCAAAAAAATTGAATCAACTATTGGTTGGATGTTAGGAAATATTCGTAATATACAGAAATAGTAAATATAAGGGCGTGCATCTATCAAAGTATAGCGGTATACCTTTCGGTTTTTTACTAACTTGGACCTGCTTATACAGAATGTCGCTGATTTTAAGTTCTTTAAGACCTGTAAGAATGGGCAATGCGAGAACACTATTCACTGCAACCCCTACCCCTGAATAATTGGCCATCTATCATATCGCAAGCAGACACAACATTACAGTTTGTCCTCAGCTTGGCTTTAAGAAGAAAAAACGTTTAGAGTTCAATGACAAATGTGTTAAAGTATGGGACACATCAATGTTGCTGTTCTGTTTAACCTTCGTGTTCATTCTGGAAGTCCCTGGCTGCTTCCAAAATGGTCTAAATATCTCCTCTAGATCCAGATCCTTCACCTTTATCCACAGTAGAAACTTTATTGTGGTAAGAAAAGGTAGTCTGGACTGCTGTGCCATTTCCAGACAGCCTTTAACTCGTACGTCATTATAGATGCTTGTCAAATTGGGACTACAGTCTTCTAATACAGAAAAACACAAACTACAGAAATGTAGCGAATGGCTAAAGCTTCCCATTAAACAAAATTAAACATTAAGGTGTCTACATCTCCCTGTGCCACACGATAAGTTTGTGTAAACAGTACTGGTGCGTATTTTCTCGAGACAACTATAGCCCCTTTTACACTACCCTTTTGTAACCGCGATGACTGTTGAGTGTAAATGGCACGCAAAACTTAACCGAACTGCACCAGTCACAACCAAACCGCACCAACGTGGTACTAGTTCATCAGTCGGGCTCGAAGCGGTTCAGTTCTGGCTCAGTTCTCAGATAACAAAGACAAAGATAACAAACGCATGAGCAGACTGCGTCATCTGCTTACAGCCAGTCTCCGTAATCATGAAATGTCAGACCCATAAAAATACAAGTTTCCCTACCATGCCACAAGATTTCCAGTGATGATTCTGCTTAGCAGTGTGATGATTGTCATCTCCTGTCATTGTTTCCTGCGTCTGTAAGCCCTGATTAGACTATCGTTTGTCGTATCCAATTCCCAAAAGCCGACTCTGTCAAGTGAATACACCAAAGGCTGCCTTCTTTGCCGGACTCTCCGCAAACGTCCTGAATGTTACAGGCGCTGCCATGTTGGTTTGCTTGTTTAGCTCTAGAGAGCAGTAGTACTGTAGATCGTCACTAGGAGGCGAGGAACTGTGCTAGCATAGTGTGTAAATGGTCGTATGGAACCAAGCTCGGCACAGTTAACTGATTCAGTCTTGGCACAGATTGGTTTTCAGAGGCTAGGGTAAATGGGGCTTATGTGAATTTCTGTAAGGTGGTATGAGCTTGTAAGTCCTGTCACACAAACGATTGTATGATTCCTTAAGGCTGATTTATACTTCGAAAGTAGGTAATCCACGTAGGTGTCGCGGTGAACGCAGAGACGTCCCCAACCCCTACTGCAGACACTCTGCTGCACCTCTCCCAAATTGTAGGTGACCGCTGACAGTGCTGCAGACAGGAGGCCTTTGATTGGTCAAATCTACATCTGCTCTTCACTATGCATCTCCTGTTTGGTACCTTGCCAGCTTGTTTTGTTTGTATTACTGCGATTGGGGGAAACGACTTGGGAAATTGGACCAGCTAGAAGAGCGAGGCGTGCGACAACGCTGGGACCTTTTCCACCTAGATACCCGCTCTTTTCGGCCCTCATGTCCCTCTGTTGTCGCACAAATTTGCCCCCCACTTCCTCACCGTCTCAGCCATATCTAGACCCACAGCTAGTTCCTGAACATAGCGCCGACCATGCTTCAATATTGAGCATAAATCAAAAAAGTCTGCGTGCTACCTGCGACAAGCTCACTGCAACACACTGCTGTGGGAGTATAACCAGCCCTTCACAGCTCCAGAGAGGGAACCTGTGAAATGGGGGGCAGTCAGGCTTCTTCCTTACTGCCAGCTCTATTCAGGCAGCTCTTAACATGGCGAACACTGACACACATTCAATTTGTCCTTACCAAGAAGCAGCCTTGCTCTCTTTCGCACCACTGAAATTCAGACCTGAATTATTATTTTATTGAAAATTCCCTCGGTTTTAAAGTTTCTTCATTGTGTTTCATCTACACTTTATAAACACTTCCTTAAATCATCAAATGGTTTAACTGTGGGCCTCTAGTCGGTAACAGCTCCACACCCAAAAGCACTTTGGCCAGTTATCCATTACGGTCAATAAGGCTGCAATTCTCTCCATTCTACTGGTCAGCTTATTTTAATTATTAATGAAGAAATGGTCCTGTTTGTACTTTACACTGATCCATGTTTGGAGGGTTCTCCAAAAATTAGGCTTTATTTTCTATATTAGTGCTCAATCTGTCAGGAATCTTATGTGCTCATAAGTACTGCTTACAGGTAATAAAATGACTTTGTACCTCAGTACTGAACACAATCCTTGTTCCATAAAACAATCAACAAAAGGTTAAGTCCCTAAAGTCCTGCTCTCTATTTGCTACTTTTTATGGGTGTTGCTTTTGAGATTATCAAAGAACTAAGTTTTCTTTGATTACCATTCATTTCCTGCAAGTTTTATTTTTTTTCTATGGCTGTCTAATAACAAGTTGGAGTGCATATTGTAATCATTTGTTTTTAGTTTGTTTGGCTGTGTGTATGCTTTTTTAAAATTATGAATTATTTTTCTGAAATCATATTTTGATTGACTTCAGAGTGATTGTTGAAAATAAGTTGTGATTAAAAAAGATAAAACTAATTTGATTCTTCTGATTGTTCTGTTGAAAGAATCACAGCCACAGTAGTGATTTTTTTCAAATTCAGCATCACAACATTTTTCAGTAGCTTTTGTTTTTTTATTCTTTTTTTTTGCCAAGAGAAGGAAAAATTGCAAATGGCAATTGTGAGCCAACATAATATGCATGCACAGGGTGAATATGCTAACTCTTCAGAAAGAGACTGGACCTCTGTGTGAAGCAACAACACTGCTGACAACCTTAACTTTGGGTTTTACCTGTCATTTAAAAAGATTTTCCTACAGTCTGTATACAGGGTTTTATCACCACAAGTAACTTTTGAGTAGATCTGTTCTGCCTCTTATGAACCGGTACGGGGGATTAGGAACCTTTTCTAAAAGAAAAATAGCTAGATTTAACATGTATTTCCCTTAAACATCTCTATCAGCTCTTCCTTTTTTCATTTTGTAGTTTAGACGTTAGTTTTTAATGGCCTTAGTTGTGCTTTTGTGCTACTTGTAGCTCCGTAGCAGTTGAGTACTAAGTCTGTGTGACCAGCTTCTTTGCCTCTTGACCCCAAGATCAAATGAAAGAGAATGGTAATCAGTATTTATTAATATAAAAAAAAAAAAATCACACTACTTATTTATGGGTAACGATGCTCCCTAGATGCATAGATATCTGAAACCAGTTAGCTGTTTGAGAAACTATCATAAAAGCCAAATGAAGATACACTGTTAGATGGAAGCCCATAGGATTTCAGTCTTACAATTTCCTGTTTTTTTTTTTCTTTGAGGCTTCTTTCTGATACACTAACACAGAGTAGTTTTTACTCTTGACTTAGACAAACTTTATTGATATTTTATATACACAGAGTGCAAACAAAGCAAAATTTCGATGGATAGAGTTTTTTCAACAGAGAAAGAGCAGCTTAGCAGTGAAATGAACATTTCCATTTATCAAGTGCACCAGTGATCAAAATGTAAACAGTGCAGGAGAGACATGGTGGAAAAGGCATTCACGTGGATGGTTCAGAACAGTGCAAAAATAAATAAATATGGTGCAAAATGCAGTAGAAACACTGAATTGAGTTCAATTTAAAGAGATTTGAAGATTCATGATGTAGTGTAAATTTGACATGTATACATATATATATATGGCAATATACCTTAACTGAAAGACAAGGAGAGCATTATGTAGAAGAAAAGCCTTGAAGTCCATGGTAACCTATAAGGAGATGCAGAGATCTAAAGGTCAGGTTGTGCAATCCGCAAATCTTTTTATGGAAGAGCAGTAAGAAAATAGCAATACTATAGCCTGTTTACATCTAACCTTGTTAGGAATACATTTAGATATGTTAAAGAATTTGCTCAGATCAGATGACACCAATGTCACTTTCAGCAAATGAAAAATAGAATAGAAATAGTATAGAAAAATGCCCTTTTTGTCCCACAATGGGAAAATTCTGGTTATTACAGCAGCAAAAAAATATTATAGAAAAAATGGTTGCACAAATGTCGGCCTTAGAAAAAGTTATAAGAATAACATAATAGTGAAGAGCTATAAGATAGAAAATAGCAGCAACATCAGAGATGTGCAAAATTACAGCAGCATGTGATTTAACTGAATAAGGTAGAAAATGTGCATGAATGTAACAACTTATTGAGGTTGTTGTTAAGTGGAAAGTCTTCCAGCTGCTGGGAGGAAGGATCTGTGATAACACTCCCTGGTGCATTTAGGGTGCAGCACTGAAGGAGCTCTCCTGTTCTGCAACAGCTTCATGCATGGATTGGGAGATATTATCCAACAGAGATGTTAATTTAGTTAGGAATCTTTTGTTTCCCACCTCCTGCACTGAGTCCAGAGGGCATCCAATCACAGAGCTGGTAAAAACAGGAAATAAACACAGTAGTGATGGATAAAACTTCTCTTTCATATGGATAGGAAAGCTGGTAAAAAATTGATAAGATAAACTGAGCTAGATGGAAGGTAATCCTTGCATAAAAACTGTTCAGACTTCTGAAGTTTAGTGATGATTTACGTTCCAGCAAAAAAAAAAAAACAAAAAAAAAACAATCCCCCTAAATAGAATAGCCAATAAAGTGGGGTCTAGAGAAAAATCAGTGTTAAATACTCAGATATTTCCTGATTAAGTTTTAAGCCTGGCTGAGCTTAAGAAATTAGGGAAAGGAAAATGGGAAATAAATACAGGCTCTTAAATTGCAAGCTGGTAGAGACATATCCTTAATTATTGTTATCTTTATGGGGTTTTTTTTTCTCCAGCTTTTAATGTCATTACACTGTCACAAGTACAGAGCAACAAAATGAACTCTCTGCAGTGGCTGCCATTATGTGGTGCCTAAAGAGCAGTGTGGGGTTAAGGGTCTTTGCTCAGGGAGCCAGAGTGGGGCCGGAACTCAGAACCTTTAGATTCCAAGCTCTATGTCCACTAAGCCGCCCATTTTCCCTTTATTTTATTTTATTTATTTTTTTATCTGCTGTCCATGTTGACTTAAGGCAGCGGAGAAACAAATCTATGGCACATATATTAGAGTTTTATTTATTTATAAAAATAAACAAAATAATTTATAATAATGACATTTTAAAATATAAATATTATTTAATTACAGTAATGAATGAATGTTTTAGTTAAAAGGTAACTAAATATGTAATGTTTTCTGTACGTTTTCTTTCATCTTCACCCTCATGGAGCATGAGTTAAAACATAGAAAAGTAAAAAAAAAAAAAAAAACATTACAAAAAATTAAAAACCACCAAAGATTAAAGTATTTTACTTTAATCCGTGACATTTAGATGTGTTTTAAATATGCAGTTATTTATTCAACTAATATACCGTTGAAACGCACGTTGCTCTTTGTTGGAGGGGCTCAGAAGTGTTTCCTTCCGGGTTGCCGTAGCCCACCTACAGCTGGCTTTTCGCGCTATAAGTTAGGGATCCTACGCTATCTGACCGCGTGCGCAGGAAACATTTCAAAAGAGGGACACCATCTTCAGCGGTACGTATGCAAGCTTTACTTTCTCCTAAAAGGTCGCAACTTCGTCGCTTTACTAAACCAAACTTATGGGATGTACGTGGACAGTATTTATCCGTAAGCCTTTAAATAAACCTTTCAGAGTTTACTACCTAGCAACGTTCTCGTCTCTATTGTTATATGTTCGGTAGTAGTTCTTTCCTGGCGGATACACGATACCGTCAGCTTTTGCAACATTTTACCGTATTATATATTATAGTTTTGCATTGCTCAGATGTATAAACCGGGTAATGCACATTAAACTTTAGGATAAACAAAGAAACGCTGAAGGAGGAAACTTGTAGCTTAGCCATATTAGCATGGAGGCTAACGGATTTGGATAGCTAAGGAGCTAATGCATAACTAAGTTCATAGCAGCTTTCATAAAAGGTTGTTTGTCCGCATTTTACAGCAACGGCTGGAGTTAAAACCCACGCTCCTTGTAGTTTTAACCAGTTTTATACTAATGTGTTTTATTCCCCGCCTGTTGTGTTTCAGAATAGAAAATGGGCAAAAAGCAGAACACCAAACCTAGGAAGGAAAATCAGACCCAGGAAGAGCCGGAGGAGTTTGTTGTGGAAAAAGTGATCGACCAGCGCATCGTCAATGGGAAAGTGGAGTTTTATCTGAAGTGGAAAGGATTTACAGAGTGAGTTCCCCTTCTCCTCTCGCTGGAAGTGCTTCCCTGGGATGGGGGTTGTGCTGTACATTTGAATGCACTCCTTGAGGATGTGCTAGTCTTGCTGTATTTATTTGCTTAGCTTGGATACATGTAATTTTGCTGATATTTAGCTACCTGTTTAGGAAAATATCATGTTCCTCTCTATTTGCTCACTTAGTGCTGATAACACCTGGGAGCCCGAAGAGAACCTGGACTGCCCTGAACTCATTTCAGCCTTTCTGGAAGCTCAGAAAAACATCAAGGAGAAGCCTGCAGCTGTAAAGAGAAAGGCCTCCACAGAAGAGCCAGAGACAGATTCTTCCAAGAAAACTGATGTAATTATTTGATATTAGCTGATTTAATCAGTACAGTTTAATGTTAAATTATCAAAGATTTCTTCCAGGTTTGGGAGTAGAAAGAGAATGCTTAGTTTCTTACAAGTATTTTCCCTCTCATTGTAGGCTGAAAGCCCGCGTGGCTTTGCCAGAAATCTGGACCCAGAGAGAATAATTGGTGCAACAGATAGTAGTGGGGAGTTGATGTTCCTGATGAAATGGTAAGTTAATTTTGTTTTTCAGATAGAGTAAATGTTTGGGTTATTTTACAAAAAATAGGGGCTGAAATACATTTAGGTGTTGTCTGTTTCAAATCAAGGCAAAGCTTATTGTGGAGGATTTTCGTTATTTTTTTTAAAGATCAAAAATGCGCATGCAGGGCATGGTGAAGCTAATTTCTCCCCGTGCACGCTCTGTTTAAAAGTTGGTGTTCCCATTGCTCATACAAGCTTACTGTCCCCTAACATCTGCCCTAAATCCCTCAATCACTATATAGAGCAGGAACTGTATAGTTGGCTTTGTAACAAACTCGGTTAACTTACTGTTTGCACAGATGATCGCTGCTTTTTGCTCCCTTGGTCACGTAAATTCACCACTGCGCGGGGCCTGCACCATCTTTATTAGTGGGAGCGGGCCACTGTAACAGCAAATTCAATAATGCTTTGCGAGGAGAGCTCTCTATGTAAAGCATTTCAGGATATATCTGCATTCCTGAGGCCTTTTCTTATACGCTTCATATACACCTTTTCTCCTTAAATAAGTCTCCTTAATATATAGCTAGCTCTTGCTCATAGAAAACACATTTATTCTGCAGGAATAAGCTTTTAGCTCTGTTACACTGGTAGCCAAGTAATCGACATTTCGTCGTTAGGATTCACCCTGTGTTTTTTTGTGCAATGACAATAAAGGATGTCTAAGTCTAATCCATAAAGGGTACTGAATATTTCAGATTAATTCTCATGTGGTGATAAAAACTTTCAGCTTCTGGAAAGAACTCACAGGCTTTGATAAATAGTCAATTGTCATGAACCCAGAGCCCTGACATGATGATGCTCATCTTCATAGTGACTTATTAACTGTAGGATGAAGTCGTCTGTCCCAACGTTCATTGTTGGCTATATTAATGTTATTTATTTATCCCCCTCTTCACACCTTTGTATTTCTTTCAGGAAAGGATCAGATGAAGCTGATTTGGTCCCGGCACGCGAGGCTAACAAACGGTGCCCTCAGGTGGTCATATCTTTTTATGAGGAGCGACTGACATGGCATTCCTGTCCAGAGGATGAAGCTCAGTGATTCTCTGGTCTCTGCTGTTATTTGCACCACCTTTATTTGTTTTGTTCCTCAAGCCTGGAATCCTCCCCCTGGCCTGCCTCTTAGTTTTAGCCATCTTTGGACATTTTTCTACTTTTGTATTTAGACAGTGGTGGAGAACTGTTGAAGCGGCTAATGTCTGTGACAGAATTCTTTCAGTGATGTAATAACGGTCTTCAATAGAGCTACATGCCTCCTTCTGTGTTTTAATTCTGAGTGACTACTTGAAGATATTAAGCTGTCTTTTTTTTTTCTTTTTTCTATCCTGTTCAAGTCTAGATGTTGGGTTTGTGCTTATGCAAATGCTTAATGTGTTTATGAAAGTACATTTCGTTTACGGGGTGTAAATATGAAGTTGCATAAAAATCAAATGTTTCATGTACATTTTTATAGCTTAAGCTTTTTTTTTCTTTTTTTTTTTTACTACCTACCTAAGAATAAGGGAATCAGAAAAAAAAATGTAGATCTTATTTATAGAGATCTTAACTGGCATTAAGAGTTGAACTTTGGACCTTTAAGCATGTTGTTGATGGTTTCCAAGGCTATGCCTATTGTTTAGTGTTGCATTAAGGTCAATTAAAGGAATTTGGAGTTAATATATGGTTTTTGTGGGGTTGTGTTTAGAGTTCCTAAGCAATTCTACAAAATTACTTTTACGTTTTATTTGAAGAAAAAAAATGCATTTAAATCAACAAAATTTATGCTACTTCAATAGTCCTGCTGACCACTTAAGACAATTTACTCTAAAGCCATATTTGCTGGAATCCCATAAACGTGTATATGTTCAAATGCATTGGCAATTGGATGACCTTGCCCAAGGGCCCATTAAAATGTGGCAGCATGCTGGAACTGAAGCAACTTTTAGACGGGTCATAACTTCCTCCACTTTATGAAGATTTAGAAAGTTAATCTGGACCTGATGAAAAGGTTGGTAAAATGGTTGTGTTGGAAGTATTGGTCCCAGTATTTCAGAATCTACTCACCCAATAGGATCTAAAGAGGCTTAAAAAAATCTTGAAAATTTGCATAAGGGAGATGGTAGAGTGAATAAATGACAGTGGCTAGTGTGAGGGACAAATGCAGAAAACGTAACCTTGAAGGTGCTGGGATAGGCTACAGCAGCACAAGTCCCACGCAGGAACCTGGAGCAACGTCTACATAGGATCATTAAAATGACAATTCAGATCTGAAAAAAAGATTCTTGATATTTATCCTGCAACGTTTGGATGGTAGATCACAAAAATTTGGATTTTTCAATCTTTTTCTTGCTTTAGTGGTACTGAAACTGAAGATTTTCTATTTAACATCACAGCTCATCTGAGCAGTGTTTCTGCCCATCCCTTTATGACCACACTCTTACATTACAAAGCTCAAATATTATGAAAACAAGTTTCTTCGTTTATAGTCTTCCAAAGGCTTTTAGACCAACCAGCCCCAACAGTGAAATACGGAGTGTGGTCAAACTAGAAAATTTTGCAGTGATTACATAAAGCTGCTAGAGCAAGATGCCCAGGATCTCGTAAATACTTTTGATTCTATGCTGAATCTTCCACAAAGAATTAAGCAGATGTAAGCAATTCTATACTCAAAGGGGCAAAAAGTACAGTACTAGCAAGGTGCATGTGAAAAATTATAAATATCTCTGTAGGTATGACTTGCAAATATGGTGCAGACATCTGAAACTAAAAGAAAAGTATGACTGAGCATAAAACCTTGTTTTTAATGCATCATAACCCCTATTTTCAAATTCAATTACCTAAATTCTGACAATGAAATCAATTCAAGATCCTATAGTGAACCCAGTATGAAATCCACCACGGAAACTCTTTGGTTGTCTTGGAATAAAAAGCGAATGCACATAAATGTCAAAAGGTCTATTTCAAGTATTTGCTAATTTAAAGGGGCATTTAAACGCATTACAATATCTTAAAAAAAAAAAGTATTTTTGTTACTGATTTCAGAATGTGAAACTCTTATAGATCCATTACATAGAGTTATATATCTTACGTCTTGATTTGCTGTATTTGCTCTATTTTTATTTATTACTGCTTTCAGATATAAAAATGTTAGCCTGACGTAGTCCGACTCAATTCTAGTCAGAATATGAGTCTGATACTGCTCCATAGAGCTGTGATTATGGGGCGTGTTTTGAACGAACCAGGAAAAAAATGCCTCTGTACTCAATTGGATAGACCTACAACCAATAAGAGCAACGGAGTGCGTGACGTATGTCAAAGCGAGGCATAGTTGTTGTCCACAAAAATCAAAGCGTGCAGTTGCACGCCTAGAATAAGAAGATGAGCCTTGATCGCGTTTCTCTGTTCCTCTTTTAAAATTAATTTGCTGTCGATATCTTCTAGAACAGACCTAATAGCAGAATCTACTCACCCAAACTCTCCAGCGGCAGCCATTATTGTTGTCACCCAAGCGCGCTTTGGTCACGTGGTTGATAACGTTACTCTTGATCATCTGTCCATCATCGTATAAAGCCCGCCCTGACAATTTGATTGGATCGCCTGACAGTGGGCTTTAATACTCGTGCTACTATGGAGCAGAGCCAGACCGAACTTCCCCGAACTCAAACCTTGTGGGCGGGACTAAGTTCGGACTGGCACCCAGGCTATAAAAATGTAGTGGATGATTTTTGTTTTTCAAACATTCTTGACAGGAAAACAAATAATTTTGGAGAGTGATGAAAGAATCATAAAAAAAAAACCTAATTGATTCTAAAAAAAAAAAAGGTTTAATAACAATCAAACATGTCGGATTAACATGTATTAAATTTCTGCCTGAGCTCTGTAGGGTCAATGTCCAAGCAAGCAGGTTCCTCCCACCAGCTGATACCACTTAGCCGGCTGATTAGGGGGACAAACAGGTGGGATGCAAAACTACAAGTGATCCTCTCCCTTCAGCAGAGGTTTTCACTAATTTCTCCTATATGCCTGTGTTTTAGAAAGCAAATAAACAAAGGGGGGAAAAAAGCATAATAAAAGAAAGCATTTTTTGTTGCTGTATGTTTAGCCCACAGAAGGAGGTCCCACTGAGCTTTTAGTGGTTATTAGTCGAGCTTCACACTAGGAGGGGCTGAGCTTCCAGCCAGAGCCCTCAACCGGTCACTCTCTGTTCACAAACATCGGAGTAAGTCTCTGTAATTGAAGAGAAAAGAAAGGTAGGAACCTACTAAATAAATGCATAATCTCTGTGGAGTTTAGGTTATTACTTTATCGAATTTATTTCAGATAATTCTGATTGAGCAGCTGAGGTTTCTGACTTGTGCAGTGGTAATTGCTAGTGATGGGCAAGTGAAGCCTCATGAAGCAATGAAGCTTTCCAACGCAAAGTGTTGAAAAAAGTTCATTACTCGATGCTTCATTCATCACTCACTAGTGACATCTGCTGGTGAAACTGTAACAGCCTTGTTACTCAGTTGGATCATACTTCCAAATATTAGGAAATGCAATATTGTCACAAAGTTTTCATCAAACTCATGTTTAGTAAGAGGAGAATCCTATTCAATTGTCATGTTTTAATGATTAAAATGATTTGTAGCCAATCTAATCCTTGACCATCAGTGGTGGTGTTAGGTTTTCTTTTATGTCATGGACTTATTAGACAATGAAGATATGTGTTACTTTAATGTATTGAGAACTGAGTGACTGTTGCTGCAGACTCTGTGTACTTTGAGCTTGAAACTTGCTTACTTAAAGACAGAATTTGTTTAAAATCCTCTCTTCCTAGGAGTTCTAGTTCTGATTCTTAATATTAAGTTACACATAGAGTTTGCCTCTTCTAATGGCTTTTAGTCTGGTTTTGATGTGTGATTCTGATGCATCTCCTGATTAAACAAAAGAAAATATAGAAATTTCTGGATTTTAGGTTTAATTGTTTTTATTTAGGAATAGGACTTTTTTCACAGTTTCAGGTTGTGATCTGTCATCTCATAATACTCCCACATATGAGAGGTTTTTCTCTTTTTTGACGGCTCCATTACAACCACTGCTGATGAAAACTGTTCTGCTGATACCAAACCACCTACTACAACCCACAAAGCAACAGGATTCATCGCGCTTTTATTTTGAAAACCGACACGCAAACTGAAGCAGTCACGTGACCAATGTAATGCGAGGCCTTGTTTGTTGCCAGTCACGTGGTTTTCAACAAGAAAACACAGGCCTCGAAGCGGGGCTTCATTGACACGCCCCCTTATTACTCGGTACAAGCCTCGAAGCCTGGCTTCAGATAGCCCACCACTAGTAATTGCATAAAAAATGGTGTCAAAGACCAGAAATCCTAACTAGACTGCATTTTCATTAAACAAGTCGTGAAATCAGTGCTAAAGTATAGTTAAGTGTAGAATTTATTATAAAACGATCTACCTTGTTCTAAATTATGACATAAATATCAGCACTTTTTCACAAGTGTCATTTCTCCTACAGATTTTAAGTAAATGTACTTCCTAATGTCTCTGCCATTTCTCTCTGCCATTAAATTTAAACCTGTTTAGACCTCTTCAGCAGACATTCTCATCAACCTCAAAGTCAAGAGGCATGTCCTCTTGGCTGAGGAATTGATTGTTAAAGGCTTGTGTTGCTAATAATAGTAGCTTGGTAAGAGTGCAAAGTAATTTGTAAACTCCACTGGTTCTCCAACCTACTGTTGTAACATGGCTGAGGTGTGATGCTCTCCTCAGATCAAAGTTCTTGCTTTAAAGGAACATAAATTGTATTACCAGAACCTTTTCGTTTTAATCTGGCACCCCCTTTAATTTCTGTTGGGGTGGATTTTTCAAGTTTTTATTCATATTCATCATTGGATGTGATTCTAAACTTTGACTGAACCATTAATAAACAAGAAGAATGCACTTTGGTTTAACAGATTCTATAGTATCCATTAGATTTTCCACTAAATCTGTGTACTAAAATCCATAGAATGAAATGATTGCACTTTATTGATTTCACATGGGAGAAATTTACCTCCGTGCTTAACCCATGCCCTTGGGGAGCAGTGGGCTGCCATTGTGTGGTGCCCGGTGAGCCGTATGGGGTTAAGGGTCTTGCCCAGAGACCCAGGGTGCAGGCTGTGGGGATCGAACCGGGTACTTGCAAACTTCTCAGAGCAAAAATGCACTGCTCGAACCACTAGGCAAACATTACCCAAAAAGCATGAAAAAGCTTCCGGTCTGAGATTTAAAATGCACCAATTTGGCCTTTATCAACTCCAGTTGTAATCTTTTACTTTACCATAGAACATAACAGAGAAAATTTGTCTTTTATTTTAGGTTTAGTAGGTTTTAGTTGTTAATATTATAAGGTTATGTCAGTAAATTACCATTCAAAGTGCATCAAAATGAAACTTCTGGTTGATGTGGTGATATATTTTTAATTTCATTTTAAGTGACCCCAAATTGATGCCAATCAATATTTTATTTCCTGCTAAACACTTATGCAAAACTGTTTAACTGCAATCTTTGTGTCGGCTAGTAATTCAAGGAAGGTATGAGAATCACATTCTCTGCAGCCAATGTGTGACAACCATCTCACCAGACATGCTTTTGTAAAAACAATTGACCGTCCAATAAAAGGTCTATTCTTCTTTGACGCCAAGAAATGTGCCATGACTTGTCAATTAGGAGTCATGGACATGAGTAGACGGTCTTGCTTCCTCAGAGGAAGGTAATTTCATGTGACATTTTGCATAGTGCATCTACAGATTAGATATGGACTTAGAATGTTTGGTCCTATTGATGAACTCTGCTGGAGGCATCTCTCATGTAATGTGTCAAAGGACACATGTCAATAACTTGCAGAAATCTCTAGATTTGCCTGACCATATCCCCTTTCCTAACTCTGCTTGACCATATGAGGGGAGACGTTGTGCAATCTATATGAGTCTCTCTTAAAATAATAAACTGTTGACATTTTTAATCGCTGTCCTCTTGATGACTTTTAGTTTTGTTTTTGTTTTTTCAGGCTGAAACGAAAGGCTAGACCAAGGTGAGATGACTTTAACATAGATTTCTATCATCTGAATACTCCTGTCTGCAACCTTGCAGCAGTTTAAATGTAATTTTTCAGTTTTGCTTAAAGTAATTGAAACTGAAGTCAGTATTTGTTTGTACTGGAAATTGAGGTGAGAGGCAATGGATAATGGGTGTTACTGTGCAAAAATTGTACTAGGAGGAAATTGGTATAAGTGGTTTGGGTAAGCATGATTATTGGATTTATTTATAACTGTTGCATTGTTGACTTGGATGTTGTTGACTTACTGAATGCTTTGATATGTCCATTACTAGTAGCTGTTTTGGAGGGTTATCAATAGCTCTCTACTCCTTCCAAACCCTTGTTATGAAAATGATTAGATGATGAGAATTTGATGGTCATTTTAAACCTGACCTGCCTTGATATATTCTGGTATAATTCAATTTACTTTGAGTCAGAGGCCTACCTTGGTTAAGGGCCACCCTAGCTTGGATAAGGAATCTGTATTTGAACAAAATGAAGGCATTGATCTTCTCACTCAGGAATAATGTATATTACATATGTTGGAAATCTTAACTGCTTACATTTTTTAGTTTACTTGGACACTGCCCTATCCCTTAAAGTAGGTTTACCAAGTAATTTGTCAGCTTTAAAGTAACATTTTGTTCCCCTTATCCCTTGCCTGAATTATGTCCATTTTTTTTTTTTTTTTTTACACCATTGAGTCCTCATTTATTGCTAGCTAAGACTCCAGAGATTTCATGCCCAGAAAGCAAAGGTCTTTTTTTTTTTTTTTTTTTTTAAGGCAAAGTTAATATCTCTGACATATATAATATGTTATTTCTTTGATATTCTGTACAGAATCTGTACCAGTTATGGACAGTTTCCTGGATAATCTCTCAAAATCTGTAAGTATTCAAATATAACATTTACCATTTCATTCTTCAGTTTTCTTTGGCTTTCCTGGAATATTGGATTGAACTGGCCAATAAGGTCAACAAAATAAACCCTTGTTTTAACTTTATCTTCAGCTTTGAGGTGATGGATTATTTTTCTCTTCCAGGAATTTGTAAGCATTTGTGTTCAAGAACCAAGACTTCACAAAGATGACCTTTGGCACACTTATGTCGACTACGAGATCTGTTTACATGTAAGTGATCTTGGATATTGATCTTGTACGTCTGTCTGTAAACATGTTTGATCAGAGTAATTTAACATTTGTCTTTCAGACCAACAGCATGTGTTTTCGAAAAAAGGCTTCTTGTGTAAGGAGGCGTTACAGTGACTTTGTTTGGCTGCGCAATTGTCTGCAGAGAAATGCTCTGATAATGTAAGTTGAAATTCTGGATTATTGTACAAAATATTTGCTACATTTATTAATGTAGAATTTCTATTTGAATGTCTTGTGCAGAGAATTGCCCAAACTGCCACCTTGGAACCCCTTTTTTAGTTTGAAGAACAAAGAGCAGGTATCCAAGAGAATGAACGGCCTACAGGAGTTTTTAGAAAAGTTAGTTGTTTCATTAAACTTCTGTCATAGGTTTTAATGTCAGCCGAACTTCTTTTAATAGTGTTTTTTTTTTTTCAGAGTACTTCAGAATCCCCTACTGTTATCAGACAGTCGGCTCCATCTCTTCCTGCAGTCGGATCTCAGCATCACAAAGATTGAAAGGTGTGCGCTTGGTAAGACCAGGTACACGGTAGCTGAGGCTATTCAACAGTCCAGAGGTGGATTTTATAGCGGTTCAGATGACAAGAATTCTTGTGACTCGGATTGTGAAAGGTGAGTTATAGTGCTCGCTTGTAAAAGTGGTGTAATTCCTTGAACTTTGACATTGTCACAATTTGTTGTACTACCACTCCCCCTGGATTTATAATTTAAATCTCTTTGTCACACAATGGGGAAATTACATCTCTGCATCTTAACCCACCCCCTTGGGGAGCAGTGGGCTGCCATTGTGTGGCGCCTGCAGAGCAGTGTGGGGTTAAGTGTTTTGTTTAGAGCCCCAGGGTGGAAGCTGTGGGGATCGAACAGAGTACTTGCAATTCCACAAGAAGGAATAATACAATATGGAAAAGAAATGTAGGTTTTTCTTTAAACGTATGAAATGTTATGCATTTTTATTCAGCTTCCTTATTTTATGCTTTGTTGCAGTTAAAAGTATGGTTTTGGTTTTTCCTCAACAGATTTTCACATCCAGAAACTTAAACAACATCTTACAACTTTATTTTGTCCAATTAAAAAAAAAAAAAAAAAAAAAAAAAAAAAAAAATCGAACACTCACCGCTTGGATTAATTTGTATATATGCATTTTAATCCAGATTCACAATTGAATTTTGTTCATAAATGTACTTTGTTATGAAACCATCCATTGTAGCTCTGATTGTATATTTAGGAAGTTCCACTCAAGAAGTTGAAAGGAGCCTACATTGTGATGCTGCCATTATTCAAATGGCTTACTTATACGATGGACATCAGGGATCTGCCATAAAGCATTACATGTTGTCCCACAAAGTAAAATTTTTGGCTTTATTTTTATCAGGGCAATGTATACTAAAGCAGATTTAAGGTACAGTGCAAGATTTTGATGATTTTTTTTAAAGACCTGCCCTCTCCACCTTAAAAAAAAAAAAAAAAAAAAAAAAAAAAAAAGCACATTCACAACCTTGCACCCACTCCCGAGAGGGAACACCCATCAAATGCATTTAGAACATGCACAACCGCAACCAATTTCTCCTCGTGCACGCCATGTTTAGAAGAGGAAACGCATAGCCACAATGATTGACAATTAGGAAGAGAACTTATTTTGATGATCCACTTGAAAAAAGAACATCCTCCACTATACCTTTTAATCTATCACAGCTGGCTGAAATTTAATGACATTCAAGGGACATTACAAAGCTGGTAATCTTCTTAAACCATGGTTTTCTTCTGTGGATATGTATGCTCATGAAAACATGGGTGGAGATGCAGATTTCCTGTTAGTTTTTATATGGTGCTCTGCTTTAAACAGCTCTAACTTTCTATCATTTTATACCACCTTCATTATACTTTTGGTTCAGTTTTTTTTTATTTTTAGGCAAGCTTTAAGAACTGTCAGAGCAGTTCTTTTTATACTAGGTATTCAATTGCATTTTTACTAATTAGATCGTGTCTGCAACCATCAAGTGTTTATTTAAAATGCCTTTCCAATATTTTAACATTTGGATGTTTAATCTGTTTTCTCTTTGTGTAGCTCTGCATCTTCGGGTCTGGGATTAAGCATAGACTCCAAGGCTCAAGAAAGTCCTGTCCTCTTCCATCATTCATCTGAAAGAGATCCATAATGGTGTGGTCTCTTAGAATTTGTATTGAAACCATAACGTCTTCCTTCTGAGTATAAATCATTGTTTGCTGTTTGTGATGCACCTTCCAGCTCTTTGTATCCACCAAAAGGTGCATAGATTTTATTTCTAATATCCTGCTTAGGCCATCATTTTTTATAATGTGCCTCATTGTACTATGATGTAAAGACCTCACTTATTGAAGTGCTATATTTGTCGGGGGGGATTGATTATATTTAAAAAAAATGTATAATGAATGTCATGGAGAAATCTTAAATATTTCTGATACATTTTATTTGTGCTCAATGTTGCCCTGTTTTGGCAAGCACATTTTGAATTTTTTTTTTATATTCACTTCTTTGTTTATGATCTGCCAAAGGATAAATAAATGTCTTTTTTAAAAATATTTTCATGCAGTTTTGAGAATTTCTCTTGTCAAGACTTCAGCATTGACATATTTTTGCATTGTGCTAACACTCCAGTAGAGGGAGTGTAGACAGCATCACAAAGTGAGGTACAGAGGGCTGGTCAGAAATGAGAACCATGTACTGTAAAGAGCATTAAAGCCCACTCACTCAGGCCAGTGTGGGGAAATGGGAATATGCTGTGGTACTCATCAACTTTATTAACATTTTTTTAAATTGAGTGGAAAAGTTAAACTAGCTATAAATGACTGTTCTGTATTTACCCTCAATCATATTTACTGACAAACCTAATGGTGTAAAATTCTGAAAACCCTTTTTCTGCCGTAGAAAATTAACCTTTAATATCACCTTCTGTTACAGCATGCAGAGGGAACTCTTCTCCTTTCTCTTTACATCATACAGAATCTTTATGCCCTCTTTTCATCTCTCCTCAGATTTTCTACTGGATTTTTTTTTTTTTTTTAAGCCAGAACTTTTCTTTTTCAATGTGTTTTTGAGAAAATGTCTTGGAAGCTATTTAGATTTATTTTCCAGTACACCAAATTTTGATTTAACAATTGTACTTGAGTGTCAAAAGCTTATGCCACACACTTGCATCCCCAGGACATTTTGGAAGACAAGCTGAACACATCACAGATCTTTGACCATATGTTTTCCTTTTTTTTTACCTTTCCAAAATCCAATTGTATATTTAATGCAGAAAAAATTTCAGGAAAACAAAATGCATTACAAACGGCTCCAACATCTCTATCACTCAAGGATCACATGCACGGACAGTAGTGGCATTTAAGACATGCATGCATAGGGCGTGAAATGTATACTGCCAAATAGACCATATAGCAATCTTGTAAAATAGCATTTAGAAAATACTAAAGGGACTATAATTTGAGATTAATATGCACTCTAATTCTAAAGACTTTGACCCCAATGTGCTATATATATATATATATATATATATATATATATATATATATATATATATATATATATATATATATATACACTGAGATGTTCCCTTTACATCCTCCCATGTGGGAGATAATTATAAATTTATGTCCAGACCTTTTCCCAGTAGTGAGGAGAAACTGCTGTCGTTTAAACTGCAGTAAGTATTAACAGTTTTTGAAAAAAATTATAATTGTTTTGCACATTATATCTGATTGAGGAAAAGTTGAATGTGAGACATGCTTGGGCTATTTGTCTGGTTTATTTTTTTCTTTTTAATTGAACTTTACCTTATTTTAGCATGATCTACTATTAAAAAGAAAAATGTCTGCAAATGTTTTCTAGTGACTTAAGAGTTGTCTGTATCTGTACTTAAAATCTTTAACTTAATTTAATATGGATTTTCTTTCCAAAAAAGTATGTTTTTTTTTTCCTTTTTAGCATAAAAGAGAAATATAACTGTTGCATTTTAGATATTAAGTATAAGACGGTTTAAAGATGCCTCTTCAGCTCCAAATTATGCTAAGATAAAACAGTGTTTGCCACCCTTTGTAAACTGAATAAAGCAATTGCAGGACGGCCCACCAGTAAACCCTGTCTGTCCTGTCTCTGGTCTCCTTTCTCCTGGAGCACACCATCTCCCAATGCTCACAGGCCATAATGAAGCTGTCAGAGACTTCACACGCCAGCCGCCGAGCTGTTTTTCACACGACAAACACTGATGCGTATGTACGCGCAACGCTGACAGTTGTGAAAGCCCACAAGTGAAAGCCATGCATGAATGAACCTTTTCTCTCTTCTGCTCATCCTGTTGTCATTTTCCTCCCAGTCCCACCGGTTTGTGTTTGGAGCTCTCAATCTGTTTGCTGTTAAGGCTGACCTTATCAGTGTACAACCCATTACAAGCATACAGTTATGACACACATGCTTTGGTTCAGAGCGGCTCGAATTTTCAGTGAAAATGGAATGCAACTGCTAGGGTTTGCATCTGGTGTGTGTGAGTGTGTGTGCGCACATCTGCAGTTTAGAAATGGGGAGTGAAACCAACCAACATTTGGATATTGAGTATTCACGGTACATGTCTATTTCAGCTTGGTAATTTATAACTCAATTTCCAGTGTGCATTGATGCGCTTCATACCTCAAAAACACCAAACAAAGCCCAAACCCAATTGTATTTGAAAGCAATTAGGGTGTCCACTGGGTTGTGAACGGTCCACGTTGCGATGGCTCCAGGCCTGTGTGATATTTTTAATTGTTAATTTTCTATCACATTAGTCAACTTCAGTGCTTTTGGACAGGTGACCAAGAGCCTTGTACAGAACACACTGGCTGCTTTTTAATGGGAGGTACTTCAGTGTGTAGGAGGAGAGGTAACGATGAGCTAACTGACAGGAGGGTATATCATATTTACAGCTGCTTTATGGTCAGAATCGTCCTAATGCTTTTCAATATACGTGGATGATCATCAATATTGGTTAAAGTTTATAAGTGTAAATTATTAGCTCATTTAGTCTTTCACCTGATGCCACCACATGGGGATGGATCACCTCCTTGACCCTACAGAAGCCAACAGTTAAAATCCATATCAGCAATTAGCCTGCACAGCTCTCACCCTGCCCTGTGCATGACTCCCCACACATTCTACTTTTCATACATTTTTCCTATGTTCCTGTTGTCTCTCTATATTTTGTAAGATAATTACTTGCCTCTTTTGTAGTTGGTAGTATGTTTTTTTTCCAGCTGATGCTGCAGAGCCTGACTTTCATGCCTCAGGTGAGTTCTCAGAAAAGTAGGCCTCTGTCTGGAGCTTGCAGCTTTCTCTGAACCTGTTATAAAAAATAGTAATATTCAACCAGATGAGATCCACACATGATATAAAACAATCAAAAGAATGAACATTTTCTTCCCACAGAGTGATCTCTATCATAGAAATGAAGCATTTGGAGATTTTTTAACATTTCCTAAGATTCATATATATTTGTAGTAAATAAAATCTATTCATAAGTACGAGTCAAACAAAAATACAGATATAGTGAACCACTCAGATTAGATTTCACTCTATATGACCAAGACCTATACAGGTGATTTTCGGTTGATATAAAACATATTTTTCTGTGCATTATGATTAGTATGTTGTTCAAATGCAAGGATTGTCTCCTTAAACTTGTTATTAAAATGAGCTCATGTTAATACAAAACCTTTTTTCCATTTTTAGACTCTAAAATATGCTGCTCCTATTCAGAAACGTTATTTAATGTCTGTGTAAAACCGATCAATCGGATTTATCAAGCCCAAATAACCTCATTAGTGGGTTGCTGTGTCCTACAAGTGTTTATATCTAGTTTTTTTTTCTTTTTAAAGATCCAAAATTGTGTTTTCCCCCGTTTAGAATTTAATCCTTTGCTTTATGAAACAGACCAAGAAATCCAAAACCAATTCCCAGGAAGCAACTCACAAGTTTAAGAACAACTTTCCCAGCCTACAACAGCTGGGCAGAAAGATATTGTCAAAGTCTGGGGAACCATACCTACTGAGGTGTCCCTCTGTTTGTTTCTCTACCAAACTTTTAGGACCCAAATTGGTTATTATTAACCTAGAAATATAAACAGACCTTTAGTTTTAATGTTTTCATTCTTTTTAAGTAAAACATGTTGACAATACCTGCGACAGACAGCGACCTGTCATGTACCCAGCCTCTTGCCCATGAATTGCCTGATATGGGCTCCGGCCCCACCGGCACTCTGAGCGAGAGAAGATGGATAGATGGATGGATGTTACCGATAAAATATGGATACTAATTTGATTATTGTCTCTGATTGGTTTTAAAAGTAATCATTAAATTTTAATAGAACCGCCAATGTTGTGATTCTGAGCTAAATCAATTTTTCCTAATTTTCAGGATGATAATTTTTCACACATTAATGTATGATTATACATTTGACATTTTTATTTTATGAGAATAAATGCATTTTACTAAATACATATTTTTAAATTGCCATTTTTAGAGCTAATCTACTTCCCAAAACACATATATCTTACCATAGGAATAACTAAGAGGATGTTTTCTGACTAAAAAATTAACACATTAAACCTGTGATCCGATTAAGATCAAGATAAAGTTATGTTATTCCATAAAAACATAACTTATGTTATTTTGGGGTGGGATCCCTCCCTAACCCCCCTCTAGCTTTGGTCCTGGTTTTTAATCACACATTTGTGTGTTGCTAAGAAAAATCTTTAAATATTAGATTTTATTATTTATTATTTTATTGTTTTTTGTATATACAAAAGCTGACTACTGTAATACAGTGGCTGATAAAAACGGAAAGGTTTAGCACAACAAAATCAGACCAAACCTCAATCCACTTCCTTGGTTGCCTTTAGAGGTGGGTAGAGTACCTAATAAATTGTACTCAAGTAAGAGTAGAACTACTGATGTATGCTAGTACCCAACTCTGGTTGCCTCAGCTCTCTGGGAGCCATTGCTTCCAGGGAAGGAGTCAGCAAGAGGAGCCATTCAACCAATCAGAGTAGGAATTAACCCTAACCTTAGCCATGACAGGAGGCCAGAGAAATGTAGAAACATATCAGAAAAAATATTAGTCATGACAGAATGTTTCTCTTTAAAAAAATAACATTCAAGGATCGATATATTAAATTTAATCACCTAAAGCTACATTTAATCATTAATTACCTTAAAGCAATCTATAGATTTCCAAAATATGATCATTAAGCTCTATAATACATTTTGAACAGTCCTCAGATCAAATTTTTTATGTATAAAAGCAAGGTAACGTGTTTCTAATATTTCAGATATTCCAGGATGCCTTGCAGGAATGCTTTGTTTTGACTTGACATGTAATTTTCCAGGCATATATAAAAAAAAAAAGAAGTTTTAATGAAGCATACTATAAATCCACGAAAGGCAGCCCTCACTGCCTGTGTGTGGTGTGAAAGTGTCTGCAGATCTGGGGTCAAAACTCCACTGTCTTTTTGATAATTACCTCTAAAGGTG